TGATTACAAATGTCATAACAAATGGTGCCCACTATGGGAAAGAGGTTATTTTTGTTTGTTTAGAAGTGAGCTCATTGGATAATAAATGAGATATCAACTTTATTTTAGACATCTATCTTGGATTGTGAAAAGTGAATATACAAGCAAGTGTAACACAACAAAGTATATTGAATTATTTAAGGGTGAAACATTAATGTCTACATGTCTAACACAAGCAAAGGAGACTAAGACGATGGATAAGGTCAAGAGTGTCGTAATCTTGTGCCTCATGGATAAAAAATCCTTCCTCTCTAATTCTCTGTATTCTATTTTTCCGCTACATTATCTCTTTGCAATTGTTGAACTAACATAAATCATTTTAAATATTTTTTATTAATTAATATCAATTTTTAAAAATAAAAATCCAATCCTCTTTGTGTTTGGATTCACTAGTTCAACAAACTTATTTTGAATGGGTTGAGTCAAAATTTAAAATTTTCCTTTATTACAAAACATATGATTGGATAGGATACAAGAGATATTAGTACCCACTTCAATCTAGTAATGAAAAAACAATTATTTTTTTTGTAATTGCTTATGAATCATTCAAAAAAAAAAGATTATAGATATATTTAGAATATATTATATATTATAGAATAATATAGAATATATTCTAAATATATGTTTCATATTTTATAATAGTATTAGTATAAAATGACTATTAAAGAATATTCTTAATAATTTGTTCTTTATTATTTAATTTTGATAATTTAAAATTTTAATTTTAATTTTAATGCTTTGATATTTTAGTTTCTACTTTATTATTTGAAATATATGTTTGAAATTTTTCAAAACTATTTTACTTATTATTTAAAATGTGATTTGATGTTGGAAAAATATAATATGTCTATTAAAAAATCATTCCATTGCAAAGTTAATGAATAGAGAGAGATACCGCTAACCCAATTTAAATTCGTAAGGGAAAAATATAGGATTCAATTCTTCATTATTTTAGAGATCGTACCGAAGAATGAAGGTTTATCAAAGATAGAAGAGCACACGTATCTATTATATTCATTTGAGTTATTTAAATGTGTTCCACCTAATTTTTTTCATTAATTTATACTTTCAAATAATTTAAATAACTTAACTATATTTTTAAACATCCATACAACTGATCAAAACTTCAAAATACATCTCACCAAAATTCAAAATATACTTCACAAAAAACTCTAAAAAAAAAAGAATGTTGAGAAGTGTGAAAATTGAACAACGATTTTGCTATGTAATATTCATCCATTTCTGACACAATAAATTTGATAGTAGTGTAGCAACTATATATTTCAACCGTTAATCGCATTAAAATCCTCTCCATTTTTGTCTTATACATTTTTTTCTATTACCAAAATATTGAAAATATAAATATAATATTATAACATTAAATGAGCTCATTTATTTGTTATATACATCAAACTCTTCAAAACTATAATAATTGAGAGAAAAAATGAGAGATGAAATGGAGATGACTCCAACCAGTTAATCATGCTCTAAGAAAGAAAAAAATAGTCGTCCTATCTGATTATCATGCTTAATTATCATTATTTATAGACTAATTGTTCATCTTTATCACTTAGAAGTTTATTCTCTAAACCACACGATAAAAATAGAAAAGACTTCATATCTTGACCACAAAAACAAAATAAAAATAGTAAAGACTATATCTTAACCAAAAAAACTGAAACAAAGGAAATACCGTTATCTTATATATATATATATATATTCCTTTTCATTTTGTTGCTTACTGTTATCAAACACAATCTTCTGGTCACAAACAGATTGAAATATATTGATCTGAAAAGTCATTATATTTCAATCTTCAAACACTCCGATCTCATCACAATCATTATGGCTTACCCTAATGAACCACAACCTTCTTCCTATGCTCCAATGCCGCTATTCCCCGCTGCCATATTCGGCTCTCAATTCTGTATTCCGTATCCGCTAGAGCTTGTCATCATGAAAAAGGTTATGACAGTTTCAGAAGGGAACTTCTCCGTCAGTGATCCCAACGGCATCATCCTCTTAAAAGTTAAAGACTCTCACTTAACCCACCGCCGTGTCTTGGTTGATGCCGCCGACAACCCCATCGCCACCCTACGTCGCAAGGTTCATCTTTATTCTCTTATTTTCTTAAAAAATAATTAACTCGGTTTTGAATTCTTTGTAAAAGATTCACTGTTTCTGGTGCAGAGAGTTACTATGCATGATCGATGGGTAGTTTTTAGAGGTGAAAGCACAAAAGCTAATGATCTTATATTTACCTTGAAGAGATCATCTCGAAATCAGTTTAAGACCAAATTAAATGTATATTTAGCTGGTAACACAAAAGAGAGTGTTTGTGATTTTCAAGTTAATGGTAGTTGGCTCCAACGTTCTTGCGCTATTTATGCTGGTGAATCAAACAACATTGTTGCCCAGGTAATCTATTATACATAACCATTAGTACAACTAGTATTTAATTAATTATAAATTAATTTTTTTATATTATTGTAATTGCAGATGAACAAAAAACACATTGTTCAGAGTGTTTTAATTGGTAAAGACCAATTCGGGGTTACACTTTATCCTAATGTTGATTATGCTTTTATAGTAGCGTTATTTGTGATTCTTAATGAGATCAACGTTGATGAAAAAGAAGAACAAGAAGAAGAAAAAGAAGAAGAAGAAAGCAGTGAAGAAGAAGATGACTAAGACGTTAATTGTGATTCTTGACGAGATCATCGATGATGAAAAGAAGAATGATTAGAAGATTAGTGTTTTGTATTTAAATTTATATCGAGTATCATCCGTCTCTAATTAGTTGTCATATTAGACACTCTTATACAAATTAAGAAATATAATAAATAAAAAAAGAGAACAGTGATTTTATCAAATTATCTTTATTAACTATTAATAGATTTGAATTAATATTAATGCAAAATAAATAATAAATTAAAAGTAATAATTAGATAGTATAATTGGAAGATAAAAATTTAAATTACATTAATAATTTAAAGTGATAAATATTTTGAAATAAATAATTTTTTTTTAAATGTCATAAAAATATTTTGCGACAGAGGGAGTATTAAATTAAGGGGTTTGCAGATTATGGATAAAAGCTTTTTTATTTATTCTTGTTTGGAGAACATTAATTAAGTTAAGGTTATAATAAATTGATTAAAAAATAAAATAGGTTTTATGTTTCTTGTAAGTTGTATAGTACATGCTTAATTTTGTAACTTCTTTATTGTTGCCAAAACTACATAGTGCCGTTTATATGACTTTTACTTAAAAATAAAAAGTTAAGGTTTAATTATTTCAAGTAGTTTATTTATAAATATGAACAATTTGTTTATATATTAATATATCATTTTCAAAAAGTACAAACAAAAAAATAGTGTTGTTAAATTTTTTGAGTCTCTTCTCCCATTTAATTCTGTTGCTTTTGAAAATATTCTCTTTGGAGAAATTCTATTAAAAAGTTCTCTTTGTATCGTATTTGAGTGTCCAGTTATAGAACGGTACTTAGAGTGCACTAGGATACTGATACAATGTATTTACGTTATTTTATTTTGGGGTATTTATGATTTTTAGTTTTATTTGTACCATTTTAAATAATATTACAAAATATTTTAAAGAGAACAATTTAGTAGACGACTCAATCCATTAATTTTTTAGTGATAAAATTTGTTTTAAAACTTTTTTCATTATAAGAAACAACAAATTTTAAGATTTTTCTTTCAGCTAGCTATACCGAAGAAATTGCAAACCTTGGTTCAATTATTTATGACTTTAACAAATCATTTATGTTTAAGGAAAATCATTAAAATCGATGATGATAAAAAAATGTTATTTTTGTGAACTAGAATAAAAGTTGTCACTATTTAAGAGAGGTTAATTGTTGATGAAAAGATGAACAACAATAAAATAATAAATAAAAAAAGCTTTGCAAAATTAATTTAGCGGAATGAGAAACATTATATTTTTAAAAATTATGTCCTTAATGAACTTATTGAAGATTTGTATTATTAATAAAGCCTTCGCAAATCTGTTAAAGAAATTTGGGATATTTTGATAAAAAAATATATCATTAAAAAAGTTAACGTTAAATTTGATAAGTATTGAACAGAATATACAAAAGATATTTTGTTATTGATAGTAGAATCAAACATGGCTTTAAATAGCCTTACAAATAACAGAACGTGCAAAGAGAAAAAGATAACTCCTCCTTATAATTAGGAAGGACTGGGTTACAGCAAAAACTAATTCAAACTTAAAACAAACTTCTACTCCTAATATTTAGGAACTTTATTAGCAACTAGAAAGACCAATTTTAAAACACGTAACTCTCAACAAATCCCTCCCATAAACTAAACATGCGTGCGGCATATTAGTTTATGCCCAAACTACTTCTAACACCAAGAGCTTCTATGAGCTTCTCAAATTGATCCCGCTTCAATGGTTTAGTCATGATATCCGCTACTTGCTCGTTTGTGCCACAGTATTCAATATCAATTGATCCATCACTTGTAAGATTTCTTAGAAAATGAAATCTCACATCAATGTGTTTAGTTCTCCCATGAAAAACTGGATTTTTTGCAAGCTTGATGGTGGAAGAATTGTCGCAACGGATTTTAATAGAATCAGTTTGAGTACCTTCAATCTTCTTCAAAATTCGTTGCATCCAAATGCTTTGACAAGCACAAGAAGCAGCAACAACATACTCGGCTTCGGTTGATGATAAAGTTACTATAGGTTGCTTTTTAGACGCCCAAGCCACAGCTCCACCACTTAGCTTAAATACATAGCCTGAGGTGCTCTTTCTATCGTCCAAATCACCGGCATAGTCACTATCCGTGTATGCCATTAATTCGTTTCTGCATTCTCTTTTATAAAAAATACCGAAGTCAACAGTAGCTTGAATGTATCTCAGTATTCGCTTAGCTGCTAGCATGTGCGTCTCCATTGGATTAGACATGAATCTACTTATGAGGCAAACACTGTACATTATATCTGGCCTTGTTACTGTCATGTACATTAAGCTTCCCACAATCTGCTTGAACAAAGTTTCATTTGCTTTTACTCCGTTCTCCTCTTTTGACAGCTTATTTCCAGGAACTATAGGATTTCTTACTCCATTACAGTTGCTCAACCCGAACTTCTCAAGTATTTCACCAGCATATCCTTTTTGGCTGATGTAGATGCCATTGACACCTTGATGCACTTCCACCCCCAAAAAGTATTTCATCTCTCCAAGATCATCAACATAGAGACTTACAATCAGAATTTTGTTGTGTTCACGTTTCTTTACAAATAAAGTGTGATCATCGCAATTCTTTTCGAACCCTTCTTTGATGAAATAGCCTTCAATCTTACTAAACCATGCTCTTGGGGCTTGTTTCAAGCCGTAAAGAGCTTTGTTTAGTTTGTACACCTTGTTCTCCTCTCCTTTCACCTCAAAACCTTGTGGTTGAGCAACATAAATCTCTTCGGTGAGTTCCCCGTGCAGGAAGGCACTTTTAACATCAAATTGATACAACTTCCAGCCATTTCTTGCTACCAATGCGACCACCATTCGAATAGTGTCCCATCTTGCTACAGGTGCAAATACTTCGTCGTAATCAATCCCTTTTTCTTGAGCATACCCTTTGGCCACCAGCCACGCCTTACACTTGTCAATCTCTCCATTTTCGTTCAATTTAGTTCGATACACCCATTTTACTCCTATTACTTTTTCTCCCACGGGAGCCTTTACGAGCTTCCAGGTACAATTCTTTTCTATTGCCTTAATTTCAAGGTCCATTGCTTCCCTCCATTTTTTTGATTTCACTGCTTGTTCATAAAACAAAGGATCAGCAGATATATGTAAAGCAAAATTTTGTACCTCATCTTCGGAGAGTCCTTCTCCACTTGTGTAATCATCTAGATATGCCGGAGCCTTTCGTTCTCGTACAAGTGGGGTTGCTGCATCAATACCATAAGTAGTATTTTCATATGCTGTGTCTGAACTTGAAGAGGTTGTTGCATCACCAGAGGTGACATTCTCATCTATTGTACCACCTTCATCTAAATTTGCTTCTTCTTCTTCTTCTTCACTTTCTTCATCTTGATTGAAGTTTTCCTCATAAGCTTCACCCCAATCAAGTATATCCCTTGTCTCTTCTTTTGTACTCTCCCAATCCCATCCTTCATTTTCTTCAAAAATCACATCTCTACTGATAGTGATTTTTTTTGTAAAAGGATTGATCATTTTTTAACCTTTGGACTCTTCACTATAGCCAATCAGAACCTGCTTTTGGCTTTTTGCATCTAATTTTAATCTCTTTGCATCTGGTATATGCACATTTCCAACACACCCAAACACTTTGAAATATTCAACATTCGGTTTTAGATCACTCCAACATTCTTCTGGAGTTTTGTTCTTCAAAGAAGCAGTTGGACTCCGATTGAGAACATGACACGTCCACTTCACAGCATCTGGCCAAAGCATTTTGGGCATGTTTTTCTCTTCAAGCAAACATCTCACCATATTGAGGATAGTACGGTTTTTGCGCTCCGTAACTCCGTTTTGCTGAGGCGTATATGGTGTAGTGAGCTGTCTTCTTATGCCTTGTGTTTTGCAAAATTCTGAGAATTCCTTAGAGTTGAATTCTCCTCCTCTATCTGTTCTCAGGCTGCACATTGATAAACCACACTCTTTCTCTACCATTATTTTGAAATTTTTGAAAGTCACAAAAGCTTCACTTTTCTCATTTAGAAAATAAACCCACAATTTCCGACTATAATCATCTATGAATGTTAATATGTACCTCTTTTTACTGTACGAAGCAGGCGAAATAGGGCCGCATATGTCAGAGTGTATGAGTTGCAACTTCTTTGTGGCTCTCCAATTGCTCTTCTTTGGCATAGCTTCTCTTTGTTGTTTTCCTAACATGCATTTTGTACACCTTTTTGTTGGAATTTTGATGTCTGGCAGCCCTCGAACCATCCCTTTATTGTGAAGCAAAGCTAGATTTTTATAGCTCAAGTGCCCATATCTTCTGTGCCAAATTTCACTTGGCTCTTCAATTTGTGTGTTGAAGCAGGAAGGTGATTTTAAAATGTTTGCAATAACAACAAACATTTTATTTGCTGTCATTATGCTTTCCATTATAACACCATGAATAGGATGATACAATTTGCAAACTCCATGTTTGATAGTAATGGTGATGCCTCGCTCTTGTAACTGATCTATACTGAGCAGGTTATTACGCAATTCAGGTACATAGAAAACATCACTTACAGTACGAGTTTGACCTCCAACTTCTAGCTTGATTCTTCCTTTCCCCCATCACCATTAGCTTGGAATCATTTCCAAGTTTTACAGAATGCTTAAATGTTTCATCAAGTTGTGTGAACCACTCTTTGTTTCCTGACATGTGGTTTGAACATCCGGAATCAAGAAACCAGATCCCTTCCCTTTTGCCTTCGTTGAGATCAGCCTGCGCCATTAACAACATTTCATCTTCATCATTGATCTCGGCATAGTGAGCCCGCTTCTCTGAACTACGACATTCATACTGAAAATGTCCCAAATTGTGACATTTATAGCATTCAACAGCAGATTTGTCAAAGAATTGTCTGCCCCTGCCTCTTCCTCGACCCCTAAACGTGCCTCTGCCTCGTCCAACTCGCTCATCATGTGTAACTTTCAATGCTTGATCTTCTTCTAC